ATTTGTTTCTAATGCTCTAAACAATGTAATTACATAGGGGGAAAATAGTCAATTCCAAAACTTTTTTTCTGGTTCTCAGGAGGATATGACGTTTTATCGATAAAATGTTTCTTATTGGGAGTCCCTGGGACGGGTAAAGGTCCTAATGGGGCTCCAGTGGTCTTTGTAAAGGTGGAAACCCCTGCTTTAGGCATTCAGTCCACTGCAGTTCCACTGGTTGCCGATAAGTGGCGGCATGTAAACGCGGTGCTCAAAGCATAGGCAATTGCCCTTCAAATATTGTTTTGTCCGTGTATTCAAATTAAACAAACCGGAAAATATTTTTTCAGAAATCCGTATAAAATTTTATTTTAAAAAATAAAATAAAAACTTTCTCCCCCAGAAGGACCGTGCAAATGACATAACATGGAGAAACATTATTTCTGCCTGCATTCTGTGGTAAAATAGATGCTGAGTAATAGAAATGGGCTGTTAGGAGCTGTTGGTGCCTTGAGACTTCTGATGGAAATAACATCAACTCGCTTCAACCGGATTGTGGAACAAGGCAAGTCGCGTTTGAATAAATTATCCAGAGCGAGTCGGAAGAGCGTCAAATGGGGCGTCGCTGCATATATTAGTCAAATCCCCCCCGCTCTCCGCCAATGGCGTGCTCAGGTTTGCTGGTGTAAAATATATTATGCAAATAGCCCAGGCTGCAGATATTCACCAGCGCAGAGATGAGCTGACCTTGGAGTTTCTTTGTGCTGCGGCACTGGATGTACGGTCTCTTGATAAAGCGAGCTTTTCTGCTGGGGAGTCACGGCATAATATCCCTGCAAACGCACACAAAGGATGTAATGCTCGAAAGGCTGTAGGAAGGACACGCGCTCGCTTCCCTGCCCGGTTTCATATGGACGCAATAGCATGAATTCTCCATGCTATTCCGTGGCGATGGATCTTGGTGTTTGTCAGCTTAGAAATTTCTCAATATCTTTTCTCTCGTCGTTGTTGGGGACAGAGACTTCGTCCGTCAAGCTCGACAATAGGTAAAATGTCAGACTTGATATGCTCGTAAGAAAGGCTAAAGCTTGTGTCATGTATTGTGCAAAATTAGAGTGGTGAAATTGAAAATATACGCGGTGCCGTTTTGGAGAATTCGTCTCATTTAACGTTAACGTTGTATCGCAGCTGAGCGTTGTGATGGCTGGTTTTGCTTCGGTCGGGTAAAACCCTAAGCTGTAACGTTAAGCAGCTTGCCCTGCTGCTTCAGTTCACTCGCACTCAGTCTCTGAAAGATGGTGCTGAAGGCAGCTTTGAGTATATAAGTGTATCTTTCTGTGTAAGCGACATAATACAGTGGCGCTTTAAACCTTGTTCTAGAGGTTTCTACAGAAAACATTGTAGTATGTGTAATATTACATTATCTTGAAGCGATGATTTTCGACATTTTATGCGTTTAGGGTGATGTTGTTTTACTGTTGCCATAGTTTCTCATGTAATTAAGTAGTGAAGTAACGTTAACGATTCTCTTTCTTTCCCCCACAGCTCATCGGGTGCCAGTGTTGTGGCCATAGACAACAAAATTGAACAAGCGATGGTAAGTCATCTTGCTTTTCTCATCATTAATAGTCCATTTTAAACAGATATTTTGTTTACATGCTGTAAGCAGTCTATCGAGTTGCATCAGTGCAAGGGGACTTAATTATTATGTAATCATTATCAAATGATTGTTGTTCTGTCATTGTGACAGCGTCGATTTAGTGACGTTTTATTGTTTTGAACATGGTAAGCTTTCGCTCTAGACTAGTCCAGGTTTAGTTTGTAATGAAAAGCTGGTAAGAAAACGAGTGAAGTGTTTGTTTGCTGACTTGCCTGGGGTTTTGCCTGCGTGCTCACGCGATCTGTGCGCCTTGTTACTGTTGCTAGGCAAACCCCAAAGCTTTTACACCTAGTTAAAAATATCTCGGCTTCTGATTGGCCTGACGCGGTGTGGGACGGCCATTTTGTCGGTTTGGTGACGCCGAGCAGGGCATAAAGGGAGGGAGGAACTGTGGGTATCGAGTAGAAGCAGGTTAAAGGGATAGTTCACCCGAAAATGAAAATTCTGTCATTTACTCGCCCTCATGTTGTTCCAAACCTGTATGAGTTTCTTTCTTCGGCTGAACATGAAAGAAGATATTTTGAAGAATGATGGTAACAAGGCAGTAGACGGTAGCCATCGACTTCCATAGTAGGGGAAAAAAAACCCTATAGAAGTGGTTATAGGTTGGTTATGGCTACTGTCAACTGTCTGGTTACCAACATTCTTCAAAATATCTTTTGTGTTCAACCGAAGAAAGAAAACTCATACAGGTTTGGAGCAACGTAAGGGCAAGTAAATGATTTTCTAGGCTTTATTCCAAACCTTCCTAACCATGAACACGGCACCTCAGAGGAGATTTGTTTCCACATAACAATATGATACATGTAATAATATGAAGATGTTTTGTTTCAGGTTTGAATAAACAAAAAGAAAGATATGAAAATAACGCTTTGCTGTCCACTTTCAGGATCTTGTGAAGAGTCACTTGATGTATGCTGTCCGTGAGGAAGTGGAGGTGTTGAAAGAACAGATTAAAGAACTGATTGAGAGAAATTCTCAACTGGAACAAGAAAACAACCTGCTGAAGAACCTGGCCAGCCCGGAGCAGCTCGCACAGTTCCAGGCTCAAGTTCAGACCGGCTCGCCCCCGTCGTCCTCCTCCACGCAAGGGGCGCAGCAGCCGCCCGCCCCGTCGGCCCAACTGGCAGCACAAAACTCTGGACCTTCGGCGTAGCACAGGATGAAAGTTCCCGTTGAGGGCGACGGAGTGGCTCGAACCGTATAAAGGAAACGGACTGAAGCTTATGAACAAACATGCCTCACTCACATGTTAGACTTTTGAAATTTGCACACCTTTCAAAACTTGACAAATGAGGTGATTTATACACCGGTGACAATCCAGTTGGCTGAGGTTGGGACGTTTGCAAAATCCACAGAATGTGATTGTCAGGTGGAAGAAAAACGATCGGAGAGGACACGATATAAAGAATCACTGTGCCTGTGTCTAAAGTCATGTTGGTTTTCAGTCATGTCTCCCTTACCTTTGTAGTGTAAATGCTGACAGCGGTCTTTTTAGACTGCGAGCTTCTAGTAAAGCAAGCACTTTTCTGGTGACGAAACTTTGAAGATCTGCCAATCTGTGCCCCAGCTGGCATGGGGAAGGCAGACGCATCGATGACGTTCATAGTTGCATTGGGGTAATCATGATACTCTTTTGAATGAAGAAAACGAGGAGGCATGATGCTTAAAATCTGCATTCGTTCTCTGCGCAGTGAGAATGACGGAAAGCTGAATTTCGAGGTGGACAGGCTGTATATTATTGTATGATTAGTGTAAGTATTTTGTAAAATAGCGATATCATGTGACGCGGTTAAAGAGACACTATATAGGTTGTACATATTTAAAGGGTAGCGAGGTAGTTGGAGGAGACAACATCCTTTTTTTTTATGCTGTTAAGCAGGATCAGTCTTACGATATTTATCTGACAAATGGAAGAAAAAAAACTACTCATCTAACACCCGCTGTACACTACTTTGTTCACTTGAGATGATTTTGAAGTATTACAACCATGTGATTTCTGTTTTCAGTTTGGACAGTTAAGTATTCTGGATCAATCTATTAACTTACAGTTACTCTTGACTATCATATAGCTGACATGGATTTGCATTGTGTACAACTTGTATGCTTATGTTCTGTGCATGTTCTCAAACCAGGAGATAAGTTGTAAAATACTGTAATTGCACTTGCCAGTTGCACTTCACAACTCTCAATAAAGTCATGTTTGTGAGAAAAATCCTTGAGATGCTTTAGCTTGTGTGGCATGCCAGGTGCATTCATTTAACCGGACTTCTGAATAAACTAGAAATGCTTGCCAGGGTTTATCATAGTACAGGTGAGGATGTGGTGAGGGTTTATATCATTGCTGGTTTTTTTTTAGTTCAAATGTTAGTTGGCCAAACAGCTGTAGTCAAGTTAAAATCATTGTTTCTCGAAGACGTGATGAAACGGAAGTATAGACAGATCATTTCTTCTGTATTGTGACGTACACCTGAGTGTAACAGATTATTGTAAAAGGAAAAAGTGTAAATCTAACGTCGTTTTCACTGGGAGATCGAGTTATATTTCCATTAAAAATTGCGAGAATAAAAAATAAAACATGCATAGATTAATCGTTCATAATAAGATCAATAACATGCCTTTAGAAAATGTTAATTTTCATTTCATGACTATTTTAAATTGCATTTTTTTGTTGGCCTTCATAGTAGCATACTGTGTATAATTTAATCTTTTAACTGTACCATGAATAATGGCTATATAACACATCTTATCTAAATAAGTCCCTCTTTATGATGCTTGAAACATTTAAATGATAAACTGAAGAGGAATTATTTTCAATTCAATCAATGTTTTCTTAGGGACTAGATGGTAAAACTGAAAAAATAAGGATCAAGAGTCAAGGTGACACAAACTTCAAGGGATAGTTCATCCGAAAATGAACATTTTATCCTTTACTCATCCTAAACCTGTATGAGTTTCTTTCTTCTGTTGAACACAAAGGAAGATATTTTGAAGATATATTATTTTTTGTTTTCCTGTTATGGAAGTCAATGGGTGCCATCAACTGTTTGACCACCAACACTCTTCAAAATATCATCTTTTTGTGTTCAACAGAAGAAAGAAACTCATACAGGTTTGGAACAACATGAGAGTGAGTAAATGATTTTTGAGTGAGACAGAATTTTCATTTTTGCGTGAACTATCCCTTTCATAAAGATCCCTGATCCAGTGGGGTTGCCTGTGCCGTAGTGTGCGGTCTGCTAATTTTACATGACAAATCATAATCTACTGTCTGTAACATTCATGAATGTTTACACACAAAAAAAACATTTAAATGACAAAGTTTTGACTGCTTTTCAAAAAGCGAAATGTTAATGAGGCATTATCCAAAAGTGTTTGACGTTTATTTGAAAAAGGCTCACGCAAACACAGTTAAATAGAGAAATAGATCATGGCGATCATCAATCACAAATAAATATGATAAAAATGATAAGATGTCAAAAACAAAAATGGTTCTGTAGAAAAGCATGTGTTCCCTTCATCCAGGGAACACTGTAAACATGTGTGACAATGTCATGTAGTTCTGTACACTAGATCCAGCTCAGCATACAAGCCTCTGACCCACGCAGAGGACGACTTCAACCTTCCAGTCTTCCTTCAGATTGTATCCGATCACACGAAGAATCTCATTCAGATGTAGGCCAGGGTATGTGAACAACACTGGGACTCACATTCCCATTCGGATACTTTGAATTATCTGAAAAATGGCTGAGAACAAGAAAGAAAAATGACACAGTTTATTATTACACACACAGGAATAGCAATCAAGCACATATAATCTAAAAAATTCAAACTTTAATATTACCTGATCCACAGACAACAAATACAAAGAGTGCCAGAAGCCATGGCCCCACCGGATATTTCTCCTCCTGCGGTCGCTGAAACAGTGAAAGTCGAAATGTTTCATAAATACAAAATATATATTTCATAAACAAAACAAAGCTGTGGTATCTGTTTACACATGACACACGTGTCTACATGATGCCACAGTGACAAAAAGAAAACAAACACATGAAGACTTGTTGATTTGTCCATACGCAAAATTATTTTTGTGCATCATTTTGTTTGCATCATGATATACCAAAAAGCCATTTTATCTAATACAGCCATTTCAGCCATTTATCTTTATATACAGGGGTTGGACAATGAAACTGAAACACCTGGTTTTAAACCATGCACAATAATGTATTAGTATGATGTAGGCCCATATGTGATGCTGGTGGAAGAAAACGTTTCCAGACTCACTCCTCTAAAATATCCCAAAGTGGCTCAAAAATATTTCGATCTGGTGACTGGTGACATGGGAGATGTTCAACTTCACTTTCATGTTCATCAAAGCATTCTGTCACACGCTGTGTATTGGTGCGTTATCATGCTGATACACTTCAGGGTACAATGTTTGAAACATTAGGTGCACATTATCCTCCAGAATGGTTTGATAGTCCTTGGCAGTGACGACGTGTCCATCAAGCACAGAAGGGAATGCCATGATATTGCAGGCCAAACCATCACTGATCCACCCTGTGCTTCACTCTGGGCAGCAACAGTCCAGGTGTTCAGCCTCTCTGGATCTTCTCCACACCGTAACTCACACAGATGTGGGGAAGACAGTGAAGGTGGACTCATCAGAGAACAATACATGTGTCTGTCCACAGCCCAAGATCTGCACTGTTGGCACCATTGAAACCGACATTTGGCATTGGAACGAGTGACCAAAAGTTTGGCTATAGCAGCCTGACCTTAAAAAGGGGGCTCTGGAGCTCCAGATGAACAGTTTTGGCGGCTACATGAGAGTTGAGGTGCACACTTAATTCTGCAGTGAGTTGGACAGCAGTGGTTTTATGTTTTTTTGGATACGGGTAAGTACCTGGACATCTCTTTCAGACAGCTTCCTCTTGAGTCGACAGTTACTCATGTTGGATGTGGTTCGTCCTGTATGTTGGTATGCTGACATTACCCTGGATCCCACAGCTCTCGATAAACCACAAAGAGTTGCTGTCCTGGTCACAGATTAGCCAGCGAGACGAGCGCCACCAACACATTTATCCTCTTTTGAACTCTGAAATCACGTCTCCCGTTATGTTGTGTGGATTGCAATATTTTATGTACAGCTGTGCTATTGCTCTGCTAATTCAATCTTCACTCTCTACTCTTACTGATGGAATGTAAAATCAGTGAAGATTGTATAGTCGTGAAACCTCCAAACACTATATTGGCCAGTGTTTCAGTTTCACTGATAAACCCCTGTATATATATATATATATAGGAACACAGAATTCAGTTCTCTTTCTTTTCTTATTGTGCTTGAACGGACACGTACGCAAAATTATGTCAAAGTGCCCGTCTCTGCGAGTATCCTTGTAAACACAGTCACTCGTAGGCTAAAACGGATCCACATAAGACATGTTGGATGTTAATAATCCCTATCATATTCCTGTCATGATGGCCGAAATACTCATTAACGTACTTCATCATATGGATCTTCATCAAGCATTAACCCATGCCACATTCTCACAGTAAATACTGCAGCTTGCCATACAGGGCAAAATGATTTCATTGATGCCTGTGACAGATGTAGTGACCCGGTTAAAACTGCACCTGTACAAGAGAGGGTCACTTATGGTCAGATTAGTTATGTGCATCTGTCATCAGTTTGTACAACTGTAGCCATGGCAACAACACAGGCGTCAACGTTAACTAAATCTGGTTTGCAATCATAGTGACTCAATAAAGCTTATTGAGCAGATTGTGATTATGTAAAACAATAGCACGTTTACGCTGCATGCGAGTTAAGCCTAATTTCAGATGATCCCCGATACTGAAAATAATTACTAGGTGAAGAATATAGACTTGCACTCGCCTCATATGATGTTTGAATAAAACCATCGATAAAACTGATAATGGCTTCGAAATGAGTCATGATAACACCAAATCATGCACATTAAAAACGAAATCCATACATAAATGACACGAGCATCATTCGTTTACGTTTATACAGACGACAAACGACCGTCTTACCAGGGTCTTCGCCACGTTCCCCCTCTGAGTGATGTTTTTGCTGTGCTTCTCGTTTGCCATACGGATTCTTTGTTTTGCTACCATCTTCCGAGCCAGCGTATATGTATAAATTAAACGCTACAGTAAATCAAATATATTGCTTTATCTGAGGTGATGCTTCAGTCCCCTTCCCTGCACCTGCTCCCCTAAACCGATTTATGCGGGACGGAAGTGCGCCTCCATGTAGACTAATAACGTCTAGAGGGACGCGCTCGCGCTTTAGCCCAGCTCCATCTCACAGCTCCATTGAACTGCACATATGCTTTTCCTTGATATGGTTTTATTCACAAGTGAACTTAAAACTTTGATTTGTTACACTCTAAAGGTTAATGTACCAATATAATTATGAATAATAATAATTATGAATAATAACAATAATAAATATGAGAACTAATTAAATAAACATGGTATTCCCTGCTGGGAAATCCAGCTGAAACTGGTATTTGTTTTGGAACATGTTTATTAGCTGATTCAAGCTGGTCATAAACTGGTCACTGGCTGGTCATAGTTATTAGCAGGTCTAAGCTGGTCACTATCTAGCCCAAGCTGGTCACTAGATGGACCATGCTGGTTATAGTCCAAAATGATTATTAGGTCTAAGATTATCACTAGACTGGGTCAAGCTGATCAATGCTTAGGATGGTCACTATCTGGTCCAAAATGGTTATAGCTGTTTTTAGTCATGGCTGGTTAAAGTTGGTCACTCGCTGCATGATATAAGCTGGTCACTAGCTGGATCAAGCTGGTCATGGCTGTTCCTGAATGGTCATTAGCTGGTCCAAGATGGTCACTATAGCTGAACAAAGCAGGTCCAAGTCGGCCACAGCAGGATCAAGCTGGTTAATGCTTAGGATGGTCACTAGCTTGTCTACAATGGTTTTAGTTTTTAGGGTGACCATGGCTGGTCCAAGATGGTCACTAGCTGTTTTGGCCATATTCCAGGTTGGATGTTGTCCTGTTGTTATTAGTGGATTGAAGCGGTTTATTCTCTGTGCTAAGCATGTCGTTTTTTATATTAGTATTTTAATTTTAATTTTACATTTAACAAAAAAGCCAAAGAAAAAAAGATACATTTAGAAAATATACAAATCAATGAATGATAATATCAACAATAACAACAACAATATAAATTATTATTAATAATTATTAATATCATCAACCATTAATAATAATATAAAAAGGGGGGGGGGGGGTAAGCTAAAAATAAGCTAAGCATGTAGTTTGCTGTTTTACCAGATACTATGTTGCAAAAAAAAAAAAGAAGAAGGAAAAAACAAATCTTGATCTGGAATATCAAGCTTGTTTGTTGCTGGTTCAAGCTCCATTTTCCAAAACCCAGCTATATAGCATCTCAAGCTGGATTTTCCAGCAGGGATTTCCTTCAACTCCTAAAATTTTATTCCCAAGTAACTTAAGGTTGCAGTGGACTTTTCCATGTCTTTTTAATTATTTCGGGAGTACAGTGCTTTCCCACTGAGTTTCCCCACAACTGTCAAGGTGAATAATGCCCTATTTTTGCTGTATTTTTGAGTTGGTGCCAGTTAGTCATACGAGGTTGCCATCGGCACAGGTCCTACAAGACGATAAAGTGGTTGCTTAGCAACTGCATCAGGGGGGTTGTGCACAGTAGCGCACACCTTCAATGCAAAGAGCTCAGGCGTTCTCTGGGCTCACATTTCACATTACAACGCATGTTGTGAAGCGGGTCCACAGTGCACTTTCCATTTCTGCTGTGTTCAAGACTCAGCCAGCCGTGCAAAATGCCACATTGTGCTAATAGCTGTGCAGTATTGTGCCTGACATTCATTTGAGATGTTCTGACGCATACATATTTGCTTTATCTCTTGTATAATTAATCTCCAAGTCCCTCAGAGCATAAACACAACATCTTTTTAATAAAAGAAATATTAATCAGCATTTTTAAGCTTTGAGCAATGCTTATTTTGAGGGATGAAGCCCTTATTACATTGCGGTGACCCACAAATAAGAGACATTCACTAAGGAACTATACCTTTAAGGGAAACCGAAAGAGAGTTCCGGTTAACGTTGTGTTGTTGTGTCGATCTCACTGCTGTACAGTTCTGATATATTCAAGTGGAGAGTAAACCTGACTCGACCATAGACAGTGAAAGAAATGGACACAGCGACCCTATAGACTTCAACGGAGAAAAATGAAGCCAATTAGAAGCACTCACTTCCTGATTGCCAAGCGCTCTGCGCAGGTTCAAACTGAGCTGGACGACGTAGATGTGACGTGAGCAACCTGTCTCACAGTTGTACGTCTTCTAGTAGCTGTGCCAAGAGGAATCTGAATCATTCTCTTCCGAATCTTGCAGAGCCGGAGAGCGTGAGTATTAGCTGTCCATGAGCTCGCAGCAGGAGCAACTTTATGACTCTCTATGGGCTTCTCCCTTGACTTTATGCCTCCACGTCCCCCCGATTGCGCGCGACCTTCTATTTCTGTCTATACGGTAATTTCTCTACTGTGCGACAGAGAGTCGCGTGTTATGACGCAATCGTTAGCCTATTTTTACAAAAACTGCTTCTATGGGGCCATAACGTAAGATACAAGGTAATGGAGCCTTTTATACATTGTCGTGTTTCTTTAGAAATAAACAATGGACAAATGGAGTCTTTAAACGCCTCAGATGTAAAGTTATTCGCTGTCAAAGTGACGCCAAAATGAATGGGAGTCAATGGAATGCTAACAGTAGGTGAAGGCTTGCTAACCAATGGCAGCCCCCGGGGAGACTTCAGTTTCCGGCTGATGGATTACACTCGACGCATCTCCGTCTCTTGTCTCCTCATTTATTGCACTCCACATTGGTGACCCCGACGCGAGTTGGATAAGATCGAATTATGTCACACAACGACGCTGGCGAAAATGCTGCTGCTGTGGCGCCGGACGCTGTTAGCGGCGTGGCTAATGTCGGCGCTATCTACGCGGCCACCATTAAGTTACCGGACTTTTGCCAGCACAATCCGCGGCCGTGGTTTCAACACATCGAGGCACAGTTCCAGCTGAGAGGAATAACACAGGACGTTACAAAATATTTCCACGTAGTAGTGGCCTTGGATGCCTCGACAACGGCCAGGGCTATGGCGCTGTTAGAGGCTCCTCCGGCTGACGGCAAATACGACGCGCTCAAAACATTCCTGTTGAACCTCTTTGAACTGTCGGAGCTGGAGAAGGCCGATTGCCTGCTGTCCCTGAACGGCCTTGGAGACAGTAAGCCGTCCGAGTTAATGGAGAGGATGCTAGCGGTGCTGGGCGCGGCGGATCCTGCGTTCCTTTTCGCCCATATATTCCTGCGGCAGCTTCCAGCGCCCGTGCGCACCGCATTGGCCAGCTGCCCCTTCCTTCCTCCAGAGACTACCGAGCGCTGGCTGTGGAGGCAGACAGGATTTTCCTGGCCAACCGGCAACAGTTTGTCAATGCACTGCTGCCCCCCCCCCCTGCATGCGGCTGCCCTGCTTCCACCCGCGGCGGACGACCCGGACACCGCAGCTGCTGTGACGGCCCGCCGGCAGCGTGAGGACGGTTGGTGTTATTACCATTCAAGGTTTGGGGCCAAGGCCAAACAGTGTCGCCAGCCTTGCAGTTTTGGAGCCCAGGGAAAAGCCAGGGCCGGCGCTCATTAGCAGCTATGGGCGCTGGCCATGACTGCAAGCTGTTATTCATCACTGACACCTTGTCCGGCCGGCGGCTGCTGGTCGATTCGTGGGCTCAGCGCAGCATCTTGCCGGCGAAGCTGGTGGACACCATGGCTGGCGGGCATGGCCCCCCGATGGATGCCGCCAACGGCACACCCATTCGTACCCATGGCACGAGGTATGTGGAAGTGTGTCTACGTCGCTCCTAGGGGCGGATTTCCTCTGCGCTTACAGACTGTTGGTGGACGTTACAAACAGCCGCTTGATCGACGCCCTCTCTTTTGCTTCGTACCCCTGTATGCTGGGGGGGTTGGGAGCGCTTTGTCTTTCAAACACTCTTGCCACCGGGGACCTGTATCAACGCCTACTCGCTGAGTTCCCTGACATCACCACGCCCACGTCTTCATCGGCGGTGGCTAAGCATGGCGTGGAGCACTACATCACCACGGTGGGCCCCCCAGTCTATGCACGGGCTCGGCGCCTCGACTCTGCCAAGCTCGCGATCGCCAGGGAGGAGTTCGCCACCATGGAGCACCTCGGCATCGTGCGCCGCTCCAACAGCCCGTGGGCTTCCCCCCTGCACATGGTGACAAAGGCTGATGGCAGTTGGTGTCCCTGTGGTGATTTCCGTAGCCTGAACAACGCCACCACCCCCGACCGGTACCCTGTGCCGCACATACAGGACTTCACCGCCCACCTAGCCGGCGCCACCATATTCTCGAAGGTGGACCTGGTGCGCGGTTACCACCTGGTGCCTGTCCACTCACAGGATGTCCCCAAGACAGCGGTCATCACACCCTTTGGCCTTTTCGAATTCCTACGGATGCCTTTCGGGCTCAAGGGGGTAGCGCAAACATTTCAGCGCCTTATGGACTCTGTGCTGAGAGACATGCCGTATCTGTTTGTGTACTTGGACGACATTCTAGTGGCCAGTGCGTCCGCAGACGACCACCTGATGCATCTCCGGCAGCTGTTCGGCAGGCTCAGTGAGCATGGTCTTATCATCAACCCGGCCAAGTGCGAGTTTGGCCGGTCATCCATCACATTCCTCGGCCACCACGTCACACCACAGGGGGCCGTTCCCCTCCCAGCCAAGGTGGACGCCGTCGCCAGTTTCCCACGCCCACGCACTGTGAAGTCCCTGCAGGAGTTCCTGGGCATGGTGAACTTCTACAACCGTTTCCTCCCCCATGCGGCCCAGCTCATGCGACCATTGTACGACGCCTTGCGGGGTGGGCGGCCGGCGGACGTGTTGGATTGGTCCCCAGAGATGACGGGTGCTTTTGATGCTGCCAAAACTGCGCTGGCCAATGCTGCTCTGCTAGCGCACCCGTCTCCGACCGCTCCAGTGGCTTTGACTACGGACACCTCGGACTACGCCGTGGGGGCTGTGTGTGAACAGTGGGTGAGCGGAGCCTGGCAGCCGCTGGCCTTTTTCAGCAGAAAGCTCCGGGTCAACGAGAGGAAATACAGCGCCTTCGACAGGGAGCTCCTGGGTCTTTTCCTCGCCACTCGTCATGTCCGGTTCCTGTTGGAGGACCGGCGGTTCACGGCTTTCGTTGACCACAAGCCGCTGACGTTTGCCA